GTGATGCAAAAATGGCCTAATACAATCCCTATTTCTTGCCATATAAAACATTAATTCAAGATGGATTAAAAACTTAAATATAAGACCCGAAACTACAAAACTACTAGAAGAAAACATAAAGGAGGCACTTCAAGACATTGATTTGGGCAAAGATTTTATGGCTAAGACCTCAAAAGCACAGGCAACAAAAGCAAAAATAGACAAATGGGACTATATTAAACTAAAATGCATCTGCATAGTAAAAGAAAAAATCAACAGAGTGAAGAGACAACCTGTTGAATGCAAGAAAATATTTGCATACTATTCATTTGACAAGGAACTAATATCCGGAATATATAAGAAACTCAACAGTTCAACAGTGGAAATCAAATAATCTCATTAAAAAATGAGCAAAAAATATGAATAGGCATTTTTCAAAGAAAGACATCATAGAAATGCCAAATGGGTATGGGGAAAATGCTCAGCATTACTAATCACCAGTGAAATGCAAGTCACAACTTCAATGAGATATTGTCTTATGGCAGTTAGAATCGTCATGATTAAAATAAAGAAATGACTCATGCTGGGAAGAATGTGAAGGAAAAGGAACTCTTAGGCACTATTGGTAAGAATGCAAATTAGTACAGCTGCTATGAAGAACAGTATGGAGATTTACCAAAACACTAAAAACTGAACTGTCATAAGGTCCAGCAATCGCATTACTGGGTATTTATCCAAAGGAAAAGAATTCAGAATAATAAACAGATACCGCAATCACACTGTTTACTGCAGCATGATTCACATTAGCAAAGATATGGACTTATTGTAAATGGCCATCAATAGATGAATGAAGACAATGTGATATATACACAATGGAATAGTATTCAGCCATAAAAATATAAAATCATGCCATTTGCAGCAACATGGATAAAACTGGAGGTCATTATGTTAAGTGAAATAAGCCAGGCATAGAAAGACAAATTTTTCATGTTCTCATTGATTTGTGGGAGCTAAAAATGTTGATGTCATGCAGGTAGAGAACAGAATGATAGATACCAGAGGCAGAGAAGGGTGTGTAGGTTGTGGGAGGAAGGGAGATGAAGAGGAGTTCATTAATGGAAACAAACACACAGTTAGATAGAAGGAATAAGTTCTGATGTTTCATAGCAAAATTGGGTGATTATAGTTAACAACAATATATTGTATATTTCAAAATAGTGGAAGAGAGGACTTGAAATGCTCCCAACACATAGAAATAATAAATACTTGAGGTGATGAATACCCCAAATACCTGACTTGATCATTATGCATTATATGCATGTAACAAAATGCCACATGTACCTCATAAATATATTAATAAAAGAAAGTCCATCTCATATTGGTTGAGGCCTGATTGTAAATAAATCTTTGTCCCTCCAGACTTTTCCCTGTACAGTCTTTACTGCTATTTCTTATATTCCAACACCATTTTACCCTTTTTCTGTCCTCCCCATACTTTTACCTCAGTTTTTACTGTTTATACAGGACGCTTTGCCCCAAGTTCTTTCTTAGCAAGCTAGAATATAAGCGAATGCAATAGCATAGAGACAAGGTCATTCCTATTTTCAAACTCAGGGTATAAACCAAGGAGATTTACCAACACATACATTTTTTTAAATCTGCAAATAAATAGTTTTATTCTGACATTTTGGAAAAAAAAATCACTCAATATCATTAATGAATTGTCATTTTACCACAGCTAGGTTGTTGAATTTGAACTTAACCTTCACTTTCAAACAAGTACTTTGTATTTTATTGATCTCTATTTTCCTGGAACAACATGGAGGCTATGTTTAGTGTGAGGACAAAGTATCACACCTTTCATCTGAAAGAAAAGATAAGCTACCATGGTACGTATAACAATGAGGTGGTTAAAACCATAAGTCGTCATCTGGCAACACTGCAAATTTACTAAAAATCACGATTTCAAAGAAGTATAGAATGCTATCAGCCAAAATAAGTATCTCTCTCTCTCTCTCTCTCACTCTTTCTCACGCTGTCTCTTCTTCCCCATATCTCTCCATCTCTGTCTCTCTCTCTATATACACACACACACACACACACACACACATACATATTGTACACATATAGAGAAACTTCGCTATTTTGTAAATGCTTAAAAATTACTGACTTTGGAAGTCATATGGCTATTTCAGTGTGTGTGGCTACTGATCTGACCCTCCTGTTTCAAAACAGTTGCAGAAGCAGAGGAAGTCATTATACAGTTAGAACATCATTTTATAAGGCAGCAGGTCTGGTAGGAAGGAGATTAGGTGCTATTTGTGACAATGGTCAGCAAATATTTGTGTTCCCAGTACTTTTCCAGGTCCTCAGTTAAAATCAAAGCAGCTGCAATCTTGGCAGTGGGAGGTGATACTCACAGTTTGAGCAAGATCTCCTGCACTGTCCCCGATTATACCTACAATGGCAGCTCCAAATATTTTATATGAAATGAGCATAGACATGGCATGCTGAAAAAGAAAGGAGTAAACTAGTGCTTACCTTGAAGCTATGCAATCAAGCATAATTTTTACATAGATTGTGTGTTTCATGTGGTGTGATAACAACTTGAGATGACATTGACATGGCCATTGGCATATCCACACCAGGCAAAGAAATCCTAATTACTATGTATCCCGTGATTAGAGTAACATTGATGTATATGTATTTTTTTCTATTCTTTTCACTTTTGTGTTTGAAAATGAGATATGGACTCAAAGCAAAAAATGAGCTAACTTCCTCATTCTATGAATAAATTTTATAAAGAAAGAATGATAAGCTAATACCTACAGAGTGTTTTTTAAATGCTAGGCACAGTTCCGGGTGATTTACAATTGGTATTTCTTTTAGTTTTCACATCTTTACAAGTAGATGCTGCTATCTTTATTTTATAGATGGAGAAACTGAGGCACAGAGAGGCTATAAATTTTAACATTACTTAAGTAATGGTGGAGTTGGAATTCCAAATCAGGCAGTCTGACTTTAGAGCCCACAGACAGCAAGCTAGTAAGTAAAGGAAGGGAGGAACAAATTGATGGATCTTTTTCCTTCTGCTTGTTTGTTTGAAACAGGGTCTCACTCTGTCGCCCAGGCTGGCATGCAATGGTGCAATCTTGGCTCACTTCAGCCTCACTAGAACACCTGGACTCAAGCGATCCTCCCGCTTTCACTTCTCAGGTAGGTAGGACTACAGGTATGAGCCTTCATGGCCAGCTACAGAAATTTTTTTAATTTCTGTAGAATTAGGGTTTCCCTATATTCCCTATGCTGGCATCCAACTCCTGGGCTCAAGCAATTCTCCTGCCTCAGCCTTGAAAAGTGTTGAGATTACAGTTGTGAACCACCATGTCTGGCCTCCATGGATCTTTAAACGTGGTGGCGGGTGGGAGAAAAGACGAAGAACAAAAACTTTATCACAAAAGAGAAACATCATTAGGTCTTGGGAAGCATGAAATCCTTTTCATTCTGCTCTAGGGAAAAGCCGTTTGGAAAACTTCTGTGTTAACAAAGAAGAGCCCAGTGGCTTAGTGATGAACTGCAGAGCACTTGTTCTTTATGACGATCACAGGGGCCTTCAGGAAGCTGATAAAAGCGTGGTCTTCCTCTCAGAACTTTTGCATTTGTTAATATTAACCTTGAAATTTATTGCTTTTATTTGTTAATCCATTTTATTATTTGATAAGGATTCATCAAATGTCTATTAGGTATCAGGCACTGAGAGATGAGGGACATAGAGTTAAGAATACAGAACTGATCCCCAGTCTTCAAGAATTGACAAATTTGTAGAAGGTAGACATTGAACATATAATACAGTCAAATGTGATGAGTGTGAGACTAAGAGAACAAGGTGTTCTAAGATTCCACAGTGTACAGTGGAGTGGGACATGGTTTCTAACTTAGTTAGCTAGAGGTTTGGGAAAAATCTCTCTGATGAAGAGACGTTTGAGCTGACACTTGAAGGATGAATAGCTAAAGGGGAGAAAGTGTTCTATGTGAGAGAACTATACATGCCAAGACACAAAAGTGTTCTCTGTTCGCAGATCTGAGCAGGGCTCAGAGAGGGAAAAGGAGAGGAGGGAGAGAAGATGAGAGAGACCTGAAGGGGCTAGACTGTGAAGCTCATGGGGAGTTAACAGCCTTAAGGAGAGTTTTGTCTCCAGGCTATGATCAACTAACTCAGCCTTCAAAACCATTACTTTTTCTTTGCTAATGTTCCTCAATAGTCTTGACACTTTTAAACTAGAGAATATAAATCCACAAGGAATTGTTTTATAATTTTACAGATGTCTTTATTTTATTTTTATTTATTTATTTAGCCAAACTGCAACTGTCTTGATCGAGTTATAGATGTCTTTATTTTAAAAATCATTTACATTGTGGTTCTCTACCTTGCCTTCTCCTACCCAGCACAAATGAGGTTATACCTCACTCACAAATTGGTTTACCTTGACCAATTTAATTTTCTTTATTTTATAATTTTGACGTAAGCATAGCATTGAAGAAAAGTTACTTTCATTCTTCTGAGTAGGAGCATAGTATTTCGCCTTTTGAGAAGCTTCTATTAAAACTTTTACTCCAGGCTAATTGTGAGTTAGCAGCATTATTAAGTATTTCATATAATCACTAAGAGTTTCCATCTGGTTCTAATCACATATTCATCTTCCTAAAATGTTTAATTATACTATTTTGCTGAGACAAATTTTAAAATAAAAAATATAAATATTAACTTTTTATTTCTCTTTTGTGGCAATACAGATTTGAAATTTTAATTTAAATGCAAATTCCATGGCAATGGCTAATATTTTCAATTCTCTCTTTCTTCAACACATACACAAGTCTGTATTCATAGCCTGTTGTAATAAACAAGGTTAAATGTAGCCTAAATTTACATTCCATCTAAATGCTTTCCTCATTCACTGGGAATTGGTTATCACATTCTGCAGTCACCTAGCAAATACCCACCTTCAAGGAGCAGTACAAACCTTTATTGGTCACTTCCCAAGCAACTTCAAAGAGCAGTAACTCCTCCACAGGAAGTTCCTCAATTTGCCACCGGGGAAGCCCACTCAGGGATGTCACAGACAGGGATCGGCCTCGAAGCATTCTGCTTACAGTCCTCTGAGACTCCTTTGAATCCCTGTTTCAATTAGTTGTAATTCCAGGAGAGGTGCACTTAGAGACACAGAAGTTAGAGCTGGTAATTACCAGGTTGTGGTAGCTTCTCTTGGGAATAAACTAGTAGCGTGAAATCTTACGTGCTTCCCGGAGAATTCCTGGTGGAAGGAGGAATTCTTCCTCCTCTTTCCCGTCTTTCTGGGTAGGTATTGTGAGGACAGTATCTACCCTATCAGTATCTGCCCAAGCCATCCAGAGCTGTCAACAGAAAAATTATCTGATTCAGGGCATAGGTAAGCACCTCGTGAGATAGGCAGGGCGTGACCCAAGTCCAGCCTTTTAGCCCTTGTCCTTTTGACCAGACTCCTAGATTCATACAGTTACCAATGCTTATTTCATCATTTCCAAAGTGATCCAATATTGGCAACTCCCCTCATACAGTTTGCAGGCCTCCAATTATTAAAATTGATAAAGAATAATTGAAAATTGATAAAGAATAACTGATAAAGAATAATCCAGTCTTATAATTATGTAGACTGATTGGGATGCATTTTTATGCTTTGGATTTCCTAAGTAGTCTTCTGTTTTTTGATTCCTATTTCTAGAGCTTTTAAAAAAATATTCCTAGTTATTTTATTCTACACTTACAAATTGAATTTTGGTGATAGCCATAGATCTTGATCCCCCTTTTCTTAATGACTTTTCTTAAAATTTTCCCTGTGAAAAAGCATAAATTTCAGTATGTCTTTGGGTGTAACATGAAAGGAATGTAATTTTGACTGGTGAATAATCATCAATCCATAATTGTAATGAGGTAGTACAAATTAATCTTTGTCATGTTCGTGCATTTCCTTCAAATATTAAAATTGATAAAGAATAATTCAGGGGATGTAAATGTTCAAACATGGGAAGAAAACTGCAAAAGAAATTAGGTTCTAAAACATCATCAGGATCATATTGCGGATAAATGGCATATATTTGCTTTTCCCTGTGTTTCTATGTATGTACATATGTATGTTTCAATTTATTTACACATCCATACACACATATCCGATATTGTACCTATGGAGAGCTGGTGATTCACAAACAAGCTTAATTTTGAGTCATCTTTACAGATTAAGATAAATTCAATATTTTTACATTATTATTCTCTAGAGCAGTGGGATCAAAGCTCATACAAAATATCCTTCACATTAAAATTACAATCAGAATTGTCAGTAATTTGTTACTTGTTAACACTATTTTTGTGCCTTTTATTAGGTTTTAAATTATTTTCTATACACTTGGTTTTATCGACTTATGCTTATTTTAGTGACTCAAGAGGGGCAGAACTACATTTCATTATATTATATTAACAAATCTATGTAAGCCAAATAGATTAAATATATCAGCCAGATGGGGTAGTACACACCTGTTGCCCCCAGCTACTCAGGAGGCTGAGGGGGAAGAATCATTTGAGCCCAAGAGTTTAAGGCCAACCTGAACAATCTAGTGACACCACATCGCTTAAAAAAATTAATTAAAACTAAAATAAATAAATGTCTTCCATGATTTTGTGACACATTTGATTCTTATCTTTGTCCAGAAAAGTACCTTTAAGTACACAGCTTATTATCCATTTGTTTGCGTTGTGAGAAAAAGATTCTATGACCAATTAAAAAAATCAAGTAGGAACATAGAAGTTGATTGATCATAGGAGCCCAAATGATCAAATGATTGTCTTCTTTATAAAATGGTTTGCTTATGTTGACATACCTCTGAGAGTCCTGCAAGGTCATATTCCAGTAAAACCAAACCTAAGGACATGTTGACAGGAGTGAGAATGGGATGACAGGGTGGTGATAGTTTCACGTTTGCAGTGTTCTGTTCCAGCAGCCTTGAGATTGGTTCATCTAGTGTCACACAGGCCACAGGAGCACTGATTCCTATTCTCCAGCGTGTACCATGAGGCTGATTTATTCATTTACATCTGTTCCAGGTATGAACTGATGAGTTGTGAGTTAGGCACTTGTAGTATCACTTATCTGCTGTGTAAACTTGAGCCAATTTCTTACCTAAGTTTTGGTTTTCTTGAAAAAATGGGGATGAGGATGAGATAATCTGAATAAGTCACTTCACATAGTGCCTGGTACTAAGCCAACCACTTTAGTAATCTCAGCCTTTTTTATAACACATATGATTGTCTAGTAAAAGCTTTCTCTAATGGTAGAGGTTACCATTGAAGAGGAAAGGGGTAAAAAGGAGACTTTAGTTTTCTTTCTTTTTTTTTAATGTTGTACCACTTGTATATGTTACCCGATCAAATGTTCAATTACAGAAAAAAAGTTTTTCAGAAAAATGACCTTAAGATCAATGAATATATTTTATAACATCCTAAATGAAAACAAGTAGGATATAAAATAAAATAATAGTATGACTGATACAATTTTGTAAAAATGTACTATATACTTCTGTTCATGACATATATGTAATAGAAGGCTGAAATAGACATATACAAAAGACGGGGAGGCTGCATGTAAAAACTCTTACAATTGTTGTCATTATGGTAGTAATTGTGATTGATATTTATGTGGTATTTTATTATAATTGTAAAAACTCTTACAATTGTTGTCTTTAATTGGTAGTAATTGTGATTGATATTTATGTGGTATTTTTGTTTGTGTTCTACACATTTTCTGTAATATATGTGCACATATAGTCACACCATATATAAGATGAGTAACAGTTAGCAAAAGTTTAATCATATAAATGAATTAAATACACATGATTGTTTCACATATTTGCACTCATTATTTTGATTTTTTGAAATTTCTATCTTTAGTTACCATTTGGCATTTTTGTGTCAAGTACCAGCACTCTCAGTTACGCGACAGCTCCTAATGGTCCCTCATAGTAGACTTACCCTCTTGATCCAGTTATTCTCAATACGAGAACATCCTTTGCCAATTCTTTGCTTGCTAATGGTGAATACCATTTTCAAAGTTGTTCATTGAGTTAAGAAAGGTAAAATGAATGGAACCATATGAAGTATATCCATGAGATGGATATATCTGCATATATTCATAGTATCTGGATGAATTTCCTTCTTTCAGATATTTGTGCAGAGAAAGGCAGTCATTTGTGCAACAAGATTTGAAGAGGAATCAGGGAAAGTTCTCTTCTTCCCACATCCCTGAACACTCCCCTATAATGTTTGTGCTAAAAGCACAAATTGATGAGATGCGAGCAGAAAGAGAACAGTCATCCAGACAGAAAGGGAGACGGGTTTTCTCCACATTGAGGAAGCACTCTCAGAAGTCCCTGATACCAAATTTTATACTTATGCTAACATTAAATCATCCAATGAAAAGAGATGAGAGGGAAAGTAAGAACAAACGAAGGCTTGTACTTGGTTCCCTTGTTAAGTATTCCAGCAGAGGTCACTAGATGCATTTAGAAAACCACACGTTCGCTTTGACATTTTGGAATCTTCTTCGAAGTCTTCCAAAAAGGCTTTAGACTTCCAGGGCTTGACTAGCCTGCACCTGCATATCCAGAATGACTTAGTTAACATATTTATGGAGCACCTACTCTGTGCTACTATTCTCGTCACTGAGAATATTTTCAATAAATAGTAGACAAGTCTCTGCCTTCATGTGGACACATATACATTAATATTGTAAATAAATTGTTATTTCAGGTGCTGCTAAATTTTTGGAGAAGAAAAACTGCAAACAATACAGAGTGATAGTGAATAGAAATGAGTGCTTTATATGGGGAAGTCAAGAAAGACCCTTCCGAGCAAGTGATATTTGAATTAGGGTATAAATGATGAGAAAGTGGCCACATTTGAAGATCTGAGAGAAATAATAGCAAAGCCTTTAACTCTTACAGGAACGGAAAGGCCAATGCAGCTGAAGCCAAAAGCACAATGAATGAAGGGAATTCTGGAGGGAATGAGGCCAGAGGAAAGCAGGAAATGGATCATAGAGAAGCTGGTCAAGAGCTTGGATTTTATTTTGGTTGTAGTAGGAAGTCATTGGAAGGTTTTAAGCAGGGGACTTTGTGCAAAAAAAAAAAAGGAGTGTTGAGAAGTATAAGGGAGGAGGCTTGGAGACAGGTTATGAAGCCAGCATATCAGTCACAAATTCTAGAATGTAAAACTTTATTCATTTGGTAGATAATCCCTATATTCTTCTAAATATCATAAAAGCAGAAATGAAAGTTAGTTATTTAGCATTTAGTCTTTGTCTTGTAAGGTTAGAGAGAGTACTTTTGTTTTCCCACATAGTATCTCTATATGTTCTTATCTGTCCATTGCTTGTATGTACTGTATTATGTATGCAGTGATGTTGTTACTATAGAAACCAGAGAATTAAAAGCCGTAAGTCAAGGTACTGTGATCATGATTCTTGCTCTCATGAAGTCTACATTCTAGCAGAGAAAGCAGATATTAAACAAATAATTAAAGACCTTCGGGGGTGATGAACAGAATACAGAGTCTGTGAGAGCATGTAACAATAAAATTAACTCGAAACAGAGTTTAAGAACGATGTCCCTGAGAAAATAATATTTAAATTTAGATCGAAAATACAGGAAAATCTAAGGAAGAGGGGTTCCAGGCAGAGGACCTAGTGTATGCAAAGACCAATAAAGAATGTGGCAAATTCAAAAAACTGAAAGATCAACATATTTAGATTCAACAACCTTAAGGTAGAAAGTGATATAGAAATGAACCTGGAGAAGTGGGAAGGGGCTGATATGAATTCTGAATTTATCTTAATAATAAGGAAAAGCCATGATAGAATTTGAATTGTTTCTTTCATAGTTTTAACTTTTAAGTTGAAGTGGAACGCATAAATAGCAAAGTGTAGAACTTATACCCCAGTGAGTTATTACAAAGCAAACACTTTTGTGTAACTATTCAATAAAGTATTGGAACAAGCAATACCAGAGTGAATTTTTTTTTTCAGAGAACTGATTCCATGGTGTGACATATTTCAAATAGTCGATCATTCTAAAGATTTACATTTTCCAAAGATCATTTTCACTGCATAATAGAGAATGAGTTAAGGAGGGATGAAACTTAAGGTGATGTGTTTGTAGCATTTTGGAGATTTATTATGTGCACATTTAACTCCTGAAAATGTAATTATATAGGCTAGACAAAGAGTCTATCTATAATTGTGAACAGTGCTGCAATGAACATATGTGTGCATGTGTCTTTATAGTAGAATGATTCATAATGCTTTGAGTATATATGCAGTAATGGAATTGCTGGGTCAAATGGTATTTCTGGTTCTAGATCCTTGAGGAATCACCACAGTCTTCCACAA